GGTCTAGGAGGAAAGTTATGGCATGTGGACAGAGCACTGTTTTTCTGATCTGGCACCTTCTCTAGTCTGCTTTGTTCCAAACAGACTGGTGTTAACTTTCCTGTGGAGTAAACAAGGCAGGCCAAGAGTGGATAATGATGCATGGTTTCCACAATACAGGCCAGCCTGTGGGCTATGGAGAGGTTTCTTGTTAGTGACACCAGCCATGTCCATGGGCTGTGATTCCCATGCCTCCACAGAGCCCAGCCCAACACTCTGGTGGGTTTCAGGGCCCCATTGTGGGGGAAAAAGGAATATAGACCCTAGAAGCATGTCATAGGAGTCGAGTAACTGGGAGCTTCTTTCAAAGTCAGAGTGCATCTGACTGAGAGGCAAGGAACCAACAGTCTACATAATATAAGCCAGATCTGTAAAATGGATGCGCATGCAGCAGCACTCAGGTTCTGGAACAAGACTAAAGCCTAGAGGTGGACGAAGAACCAGAACTTTCTGCCGGAGTCTACAGTGGGTGAATGCGAAGAAGAAGTATCACATGGCAAGTGGCAACAAACAGGCAATACTCATTATCATTAGTACAACACATGTAGCAAATCAAATAATGTGGCCCTGGCAGCCACAGAATCTACACCAGGCTCTTAAACAATCCAACCAATATCTGCGTGATAAAATCATTAGAATTGTTAAAATGTACTGGACACACTGCACGGCAATGATTTTAAAAACAGGGAATGGCTCAACTAATAACATCAGTGGTAATGATCAGTAATGCAGTCAGTTCACAGATGTACCGACAAATTATATCAGTATAAAGTTCTTCTGTGTTTGCCATTAACCTGTCACCTTGAGAAAGCTGTTTTCCCCACTTTCACACGACACAATTTTTCTGGAAATTTTTTTAGAATTTTATTTTTGGAGATATTATTAGTGGTGAAATATAAACTGTAAGTTTTGAATAACCTCATAATGAGGTCACTTTGCTCAACATGGATGTCTCAACAAAAACCTGTTTTCTTGGTCAAAGGGAGAGAATGTAGTTTATTTGCTCCTTTCATAGTTATGATTATTTCCCTGTATATATATTTAAAAAAATACCTTTGCCGAAAGTAGTGACCTGGTCTGGGTAAGAGGAATTTAAACCATTTTTCTTTTTGGTGACTTGACAGTCACAGAAAAGCTGACGATCCCACACTTGCCTGTCTGTTCGGTGGTCTAAGGGTTCGAGCTCCTGGGTTTAACAAACTGCCCAGGGCTCTAGATTTCTTCTGTTTCTACTTCTCTTCCTTTGGTGTCTCACCTTGGAGTTTTAAAGAATTGCAAGCAAGAGTTTAAAAAACATATTTTGAAAAATGTCTTTTTTTTTTTAAAGATTCGTTTGCAAGAAATTGTTAAACAGGTGTTCACTTTTTGCAACATGCTTGTTGTGGGTAAGTGACACTATCCAACACCCCCCCCCCCTTTCTTTCCCCTGGAACCCACACAAGAGGTTAACTTTAAAAAATGAGTCTGATGCATCTAAGATTTGCTCAGAAAGGCTACCTCTCTGTCCGTCCCCTTGAAACGAAATGAGACGGACAAACATGAGTGATCACATTCCAATACAGTGTTACAAGCCACTCTTTAAATAGCAATGCACTGTACTACTGTTAAAGTTCTGTTACGTAATGTATTGTTGTAGTTCTGTTACAATCATACAATGCACTGTTGTAGTTCTGTTACAATCAAACAGAGCACTGTTGTAGTTCTGCTACAACCATGCAGTGCACTGTTGTAGTTCTGCTACAATCATGCACTGCAGTGTTGTAGTTCTATTACATATTATCTTGTAAGGAGTACACAACACAAAAAGATTTGCCCTAAACTCTCAAATAATCAACCTATAGTTATCCCAAAGAACTACAACAGGCACTGAAATCAGAAACACATGGACTGACGAAGAATGGATGCCCAAGAGAAACCTTATGACAAACACGGATAAAAAAGACCAAAAGTGCCGGACTGGACTCCAAACATAATATTAAAAGGATTACACAGGATAGAACAGAATGGAGGAATCCACTGCTAGCTCAATGTGATGTGTGAATGGCACAATAAGATGACGGTGATGACTTTCCATTATTCAACTCTGAATTTCATCTGCATTTTTTTTTATGTGTAAACAGTTTCCTTATAAAATAACCCAAGTGATTGGCAAAGCTGACCACTGACAGAAAGAACATCAAGTCTAAAGATTGGCAAACCTGACCACTGACAGAAAGAACATCAAGTCTAAAGATCAGCAAACCTGACCACTGACATAAAGAACATCAAGTTTAAAGATCAGCAAACCTGACCACTGACAGAAAGAACATCAAGTCTAAAGATCAGCAAACCTGACCACTGACAGAAAGAACATCAAGTCTAAAGATCGGCAAACCTGACCACTGACAGAAAGAACATCAAGTCTAAAGATCAGCAAACCTGACCACTGACAGAAAGAACATCAAGTCTAACAAGGGAAGTCCAGTCTAAAGAACTATGAAAGAAGCCACATACACACAAAACAACAACTGGTGTCATTAGCTGCTAAATGCTGAGGATGCTTGTGGATTGAGGGGGGGGGGGGGGGTTAAACCCTTCTGCGGGTTGACTTATTCAGTGAGAATGATCTGTCAACTAAAATAAATGCTGATATATAACACAGATACCAGAATGTATCTGTGCACTGGATTAATTCTTCCAACAGACACTAATGTATATACTGAAGGGGAAGTGTAAGCACCAATGGACATGTCTGGAGTGCCATGATGATAACCCAACTCATAAATACTTATATATTGTTGGCACTAAGCTAAAGTGCTAAATCCTTGTTTTTAAAAAAATGCCAACCGTGAAGCTGCATGAAAAGTAATTCTCCATTTTGACCTATTTAGAGTAGGAATTCACAGGTGTCTTTTGGCATATTGTAAAGTGACAGATAGCAGCCATGATCTCAGGCGAAAAACGGAACTTAGGTGACATTAGCAAAGTTCACAGTTCATAGAAAGATCATCTTTATCGCACATGACCATAACTGCTCCAGTCTCGTCCTGAGTATGTCTCCAAGTGTTTTTAGGCTAACAAATCCGATTCTGTTCTGGTTGATTCAAAGATGAGTGGCTCGTACACGGTTTTCCTGTCTCTCGGCTCCAATTGGTACACCCAGGGTATAGTCTTTTCAGTGAAGAATAATTTTCCATGAAACTGAAAGCTTCACAATGTTTACTCTCTCTCTTATGGCATTGATGATGTCTCTTCTTTCCAAAGATAGTTCCTTCCCGATAGTCACAGTGCCAGCCAGGGTGTCTGCTCTCTCACTGTCTTTCACACCAGCATACCCTTGGACAAAACTGAAGGTGATTTTGCAAATGGCTGCAAGCTGTATCAGATGTATCCACTGTTTCCACATATACTCCACTGTGATCTTCTGTGTGCTAACAATATATAAAAGGACCATGTAGGGTATTCTGTGAAATCAATTCAACCACATAGTCGCTGACTGTGCCAAGACAATTTGTGATTCTCAATTATAATGTGTTGTTTTAGTTACACAACCTTGAAATGTCACCAAACAGTTACAGTGTAGACCTGATAAGGAGAACTCAAATTCTTTTTATCAGAAATTCTTCGTCCTGATAAGAGTTCAAGAAAAATTGCTGGGGGTACCAGAGATCCTCTGGACTGTATATACAATATAACAAGTCACGGCTCACTGACATTGAGTAATTTAACAACCATACATTCAGTTAAAACATTTACAAACCAGAATTTTCATCCCAATGCAGATAACCTCACTCTGTTTACTCAACTTAATGATGATCTTGACATACATTCATACAACCACAAAAATTATTTCACAATGTTATTTACAATTATCAATGTTGCTTTGTCCTGGAGACATAGAGATAACATGATTTTATAAAAAGTACACACATACAACATTTTCAAAAGTAATAATTACTGACGAAAGTGTCAAAATCCACCCCGAAACCATCAAATAGGAGTAATGTCACCACCCGATGAGAGTACAACGAACAGGCAAAAATTCACAATTTTACAGAGGATTCGAACCTAGGACTCCAGGGTGAGAAGACAGCATTCTTAGCCTTCTAGTCAGACAGAATAATTTTAGGCAACCGAGTGGAGAGATCAAAGAAACACTACCCCTCCAATATAGGGAAAAGCTTTTGTGAATTAAGAATTTAAAAAACAAACTTTTGAGTCTAACTAAAAAGGGGGTGGGGGGTAATTAAATGCACCTCAGATATACTTGGAATACCAACAAATACTGTCCCCTGCAAACACAACACAGATACAATTTATAACAATATACAAGAGTGTATATAACACAGATACAATATTGTGCACTAGAGTAATTCTTCCAACAGATACCATCCATAACACAGAAACAAAATGACATCAGCACATCCATGCGCTAGAGTAAGTCTCCATTTCACAGCCAACCAACTGCTGCAGCAATGCCTCACATGCTAAAGTCAGCAATGCCTCACATGCTAAAGCCGGCAAAGCCTCACATGCTAAAGTCAGCAATGCCTCACATGCTAAAGTCAGCAATGCCCAAAATAGCAGGAACCTCCATCCAGGAAAACTGTTTAAAGCTAGAGTTGACTGCTGCCTCTTTTAAAGATACAAGGGCGACAGAGAAAGACGACCATGCGGGCATTTCGTTACCTCCCAGTGAGACTGAAACAGATAAATGATGAACTGGCACCATCAATATATCAGAAGAAATACCAGGATTATAAAATCACATCAGATCGGTCACCTCAAGAACCCCAGCTACTGTTGGCACAGAGGATACACAGAGACCATTTAAAGCTGAGAAAACTTTAGGATACAAAAGAAAACAGGACTAGCTGTATTTAGTGAGGTACCAGACCGGGCATGCATTGGTGCATTTGCTTCCACATAAGAAATAAAGAGTCAGCTAACACAGGTTGTCCTGGAAAATAATATAAATGTCATCATCTGTCCACTCCCGTGTCCAGACCCAGGGCTTGTTTTGTAGACTCGTAGGTAGCGAAGGAAATGGCAACGGTGGGCATGATCCGGATGTAGTTAATGCTCATGCCACGAAAGAGGCCCTTGACAACACCGTTCTCGTGGTACACATCCACCATGACTTGCAGCCAGCCCCTGAAATATATATACACAAAGTATACATCGGTATACATACTTGATCAGTTAATCTTAATCAGTTGATCCATTCCTGATACTTGGACGTATACCAAGCAGTTTGTATACATAATACATTTCCACATAAGAAATAAAGAGAGAATGACTGATGTGATTGATTATACACTGATGTGATTGATTATACACTGACGCGATTAGACACTGATGCGATTATACACTGATGTGATTATACACTGATGTGATTGATTATACACTGACACGATTAGACACTGATGCGATTATACACTGATGTGATTGATTATACACTGACGCAATTAGACACTGATGCGATTATACACTGAATTGATTATATACTGATGTGATTATATACTGATGTGATTATACACTGATGTGATTATACACTGATGTGATTATACACTGATGTGATTATATACTGATGTGATTATATACTGATGTGATTATATACTGATGTGATTAGACACTGATGTGATTAGACACTGATGTGATTATACACTGATGTGATTATACACTGATGTGATTATACACTCAATTGATTATATACTGATGTGATTATACACTGATGTGATTATACACTGATGTGATTATACACTGATGTTATTATACACTGATGTGATTATACACTGAATTGATTATATACTGATATGATTATATACTGATATGATTATATACTGATGTGATTATATACTGATATGATTATATACTGATATGATTATATACTGATGTGATTATATACTGATGTGATTATATACTGATATGATTATATACTGATGTGATTATACACTGATGTGATTATACACTGATGTGATTATACACTGATGTGATTATACACTGAATTGATTATATACTGATGTGATTATATACTGATGTGATTATATACCGATGTGATTATATACCGATGTGATTAGACACTGATGTGATTAGACACTGATGTGATTATACACTGATGTGATTATACACTGATGTGATTATACACTGATGTGATTATACACTGATGTGATTATATACTGATGTGATTATATACTGATGTGATTATATACTGATGTGATTATACACTGATGTGATTATACACTGAATTGATTATATACTGATATGATTATATACTGATATGATTATACACTGATGTGATTATATACTGATGTGATTATATACTGATATGATTATACACTGATATGATTATATACTGATATGATTATATACTGATGTGATTATATACTGATGTGATTATATACTGATGTGATTATACACTGATATGATTATACACTGATATGATTATATACTGATGTGATTATACACTGATGTGATTATATACTGATATGATTATATACTGATGTGATTATATACTGATGTGATTATATACTGATATGATTATATACTGATATGATTATATACTGATGTGATTATACACTGATGTGATTATACACTGAATTGATTATACACTGATATGATTATATACTGATGTGATTATATACTGATGTGATTATACACTGATGTGATTATATACTGATATGATTATATACTGATGTGATTATACACTGATATGATTATATACTGATATGATTATACACTGATATGATTATATACTGATATGATTATACACTGATGTGATTATATACTGATATGATTATATACTGATATGATTATACACTGATGTGATTATACACTGAATTGATTATATACTGATATGATTATAAACTGCCTAACACTAAAATACATAAACTATTAAACACAACAGCAATCAGATAAAATAAATAAAAATGTAACCTCACTTGACCTTGCTGAGAATATCTGAGAGCCTACTGGGTGGTTCACGGAAGGGGAGAGGACAAGATGTTATTGTTTGGAAGGAGAGTCCCCTTTCAATAAAACTTTAGAAATCTAAAATTATGGTGTTTTTTTTATTTGTCTCCGCTACTTAGAGCTGGTTTAGGCTCACTGGGTTGGACTTTCACTAAAAATCTATCCAAAGAACTTTGCTTCTGTCTGCTCAGGGTGTGTTGTTATTCCAGACAATGCTGTCACGGCTAAGTCGCTGACGCCTCTCTGTGGCTTTATCTCAAGACAGGTAAACAAAGATAGTGTGCGGTGTTGTGAGTAATTTTGACTCAAACAAGTTCTAGCACATGAGTTGTATTCCAAACAAAGGTTGCATGCCAAGCAAAAGTCAAACAAACATACACACACATATATCCATCCACATTGTACTTGTCAATCAGTTAATCCTTTAGCTATTAGTAAAGCTGGATGTATGGAATATTTAGACAGCTGATAAAGCCTCTCTTAAGTCAGCAGATTCCTAAACTAAATCATACGTGGTCCTGTATGTAACTGTATCACTGTTCATGCTTCTGTGTGTTGGTGAAGGCTTTCTATCGCAACGTTCATTCTGTCATGAATGTGTTTTATTGGGAAACTGACCAGTTCTATTTCTCAGTTTTATTGAGTCTGTCATGACGCTCTCGGCACAGGAATGTTTTCTGCCTATTTAGGTCCATTTTAAAAATATTTTTTTGGCTGCATTTAACACAGGGAAATTCATTTTGTAGTTTTTCCTGGTTTGTCTTCGTTTTACAGCTGCTTCACAAGCTGCAGCTCTATGACCACCGACCCTCATCATATCATTCATTGCTACATGTATGGTCATTCACTGCTACATGTATGGTCATTCACTGCTACATGTGTGGTCATTCACTGCTACATGTGTGGTCATTCACTGCTACATGTATGGTCATTCACTGCTACATGTATGGTCATTCACTGCTACATGTATGGTCATTCACTGTTACGTGTATGGTCATTCACTGTTACATGTGTGGTCATTCACTGCTACATGTGTGGTCATTCACTGCTACATGTGTGGTCATCACTGCTACATGTGTGGTCATTCACTGCTACATGTGTGGTCATTCACTGCTAGATGTGTGGTCATCACTGCTACATGTATGGTCATCACTGCTACATGTATGGTCATTCACTGCTACATGTATGGTCATTCATTGCTACATGTGTGGTCATTCACTGCTACATGTATGGTCATTCACTGCTACATGTGTGGTCATTCACTGCTAGATGTGTGGTCATCACTGCTACATGTATGGTCATTCACTGCTACATGTGTGGTCATTCACTGCTAGATGTGTGGTCATTCACTGCTACATGTGTGGTCATTCACTGTTACATGTGTGGTCATTCACTGCTACATGTGTGGTCATTCACTGCTACATGTGTGGTCATTCACTGCTAGATGTGTGGTCATTCACTGCTACATGTGTGGTCATTCACTGCTACATGTATGGTCATTCACTGCTACATATATGGTCATTCACTGCTACATGTGTGGTCATTCACTGCTACATGTGTCGTCATTCACTGCTACATGTGTGGTCATTCACTGCTACATGTGTGGTCATTCACTGCTACATGTATGGTCATTCACTGCTACATGTGTGGTCATTCACTGCTACATGTGTGGTCATTCACTGCTAGATGTGTGGTCATTCACTGCTAGATGTGTGGTCATTCACTGCTACATGTGTGGTCATTCACTGCTACATGTGTGGTCATCACTGCTACATGTATGGTCATTCACTGCTACATGTAAAACATATTCTCCTTATTTATCCTTTCACCCAAGAATTCTTTAAAAAAAAAAAAAAATGGCCCTATGGGGATTCCTAAAGAAAAAAGTAAAAATAAAAATAATTTTTAATCAGACCGCTCATAAATTGGCAAAGTGTTTTTATAGACATTTTACAATTGCTTGTTGTAATATATAAGAAATATGAAAGCAGTAACCATTAAACATGTAAGGGGTAAAATATTAAACTGAACACATTCCCCGGGCCTTAAAACCACATGTACTGGGTAACTTATGTCGTGACCCCGTGACATTTGTCATGCAGGCTTATATGAAAATCTGAGATCATCTTGGCTTTAAAAAAAAGCAATTTAGCACAAAGGAAAACCCGTGTAAATGCTATTGTTAGTTGATTTAGTAATATCCTGATTGCCTAAATGTTTGCACAGAGGCAAACTCAGCCAATTGCATTAATTTTACATCTCATAAATAGGTCACGATAGACAGGCTGAAAAAGTTATGGTTACAGGGAATTAGACCCAACTCACAAAGACAACTGATAGCCCATGTTAAAAAGAGATAATCTACATTCTTTGGTCATGTTATGAGAAGGAAAAAACTGGAGTACTTCATGACAGTAGGAAAGATGGAGTGTAGAAGAGGCAGAGGGTGACCAAGAGAAAAGATGCTGGACATTGTGACATCATGGCATAGAGGATCATCTGTGTCAGAGTTGATTGAAACTAGACGAGACAGAAGGTTGTAGATAGACATGACTACCTACGCCACATGGCATGTAGGATCGTATGTGTCAGAGTTGACTGAAACTACTCGAGACAGAAGGTTGTGGATAGACATGACTACCTACGCCACATGGCATGTAGGATCGTATGTGTCAGAGTTGATTGAAACTAGACGAGACAGAAGGTTGTGGATAGACATGACTACCTACGCCACATGGCATGTAGGATCATCTGTGTCAGAGTTGATTGAAACTAGACGAGACAGAAGGTTGTGGATAGACATGACTACCTACGCCACATGGCATGTAGGATCATCTGTGTCAGAGTTGATTGAAACTAGACGAGACAGAAGGTTGTGGATAGACATGAATACCCACGCCACATGGCATTGAGGATCATCTGTGTCAGAGTTGATTGAAACTAGACGAGACAGAAGGTTGTGGATAGACATGACTACCTACGCCACATGGCATGTAGGATCGTATGTGTCAGAGTTGACTGAAACTACACGAGACAGAAGGTTGTGGATAGACATGACTACCTACGCCACATGGCATGTAGGATCGTATGTGTCAGAGTTGACTGAAACTACACGAGACAGAAGGTTGTGGATAGACATGACTACCCACGCCACATGGCATGTAGGATCGTATGTGTCAGAGTTGACTGAAACTACACGAGACAGAAGGTTGTGGATAGACATGACTACCCACGCCACATGGCATTGAGGATCATCTGTGTCAGAGTTGATTGAAACTACATGAGACAGAAGGTTGTGGATAGACATGACTACCTACGCCACATGGCATGTAGGATCGTATGTGTCAGAGTTGATTGAAACTAGACGAGACAGAAGGTTGTGGATAGACATGACTACCTACGCCACATGGCATGTAGGATCATCTGTGTCAGAGTTGACTGAAACTAGACGAGACAGAAGGTTGTGGATAGACATGACTACCTACGCCACATGGCATGTAGGATCATCTGTGTCAGAGTTGACTGAAACTACATGAGACAGAAGGTTGTGGATAGACATGACTACCCACGCCACATGGCATTGAGGATCATCTGTGTCAGAGTTGATTGAAACTACATGAGACAGAAGGTTGTGGATAGACATGACTACCTACGCCACATGGCATGTAGGATCGTATGTGTCAGAGTTGATTGAAACTAGACGAGACAGAAGGTTGTGGATAGACATGACTACCCACGCCACATGGCATGTAGGATCGTATGTGTCAGAGTTGATTGAAACTAGACGAGACAGAAGGTTGTGGATAGACATGACTACCCACGCCACATGGCATGTAGGATCGTATGTGTCAGAGTTGACTGAAACTACACGAGACAGAAGGTTGTGGATAGACATGACTACCTACGCCACATGGCACGGACTTTGCAGAGAAGAAGGACCCAACAGAAAGTGTTGGTTTTTGGATTTTCAGGGTTGAGTTGAGTTGAGACAAGAAATGACATCACAGTACTCAGGGCATTCCCATGCATGCTCCATCCTCATCTTCAGCAGCCAGTGCAGAGTTCCAATACTGATGGTAACGGTCACAATCTGGTTAAATGTCCGTCTTGCCTTTCCTCTGAGTGTAGTCAGCCGGCCAGACCCTCTGGTTACACCCAGGTGTCTCATTCTTTCCAGGCCATAATAATCTTCTTTTTCTACTGATTCCGTCACTTGTTGCCAAAGGGCCTTGACCACATCTGCCTTGTCATGTATCAATTCACCACCCAGTGGTGCAGATCCAGCCAATCTGTCTGCCTGTCTCATGGTGAAAGGGTTCAAACACAAAAACGGTCACAAACCTTGGATAAGATATGACTGATTCAGGAGACTTGACAACCATACCAGAGAGCTGCATCCTCCTCCTCACCACATCCAGGGGGTAGCTGGACAGAAATGAAGCAAGGAACAATGCAACACTCTCCCTTATGATACTTTTGTGCATACAAACTAAACTGACACAGAAACAGTTACTCCTCTGGTGTCAACTACAGCTCTGGAATATAATCCCCCCATGTGGGTTCTGGAGCCCAATTATGGGGAAAACAAGAACAGACCCACTGCCTCCCCGTGTGGGTTCTGGAGCCCAGTCATGGGGAAAACAAGAACAGACCCACTGCCTCCCTAACAAGTGTGTCGTCAGAGTCGACTATTACCGATATGTTTCAAAGTCAGAGTGCATCTGACTAAGATGCAAGGAACCAACAGTCTGCAAATAAATAAGCCAGATCTGTAAATTTGATGTGTACACAAAACTCAAGTTCTGGAACAAGACCAAAAGTCCAGAAGTGGGTGAACAACCAGAACTTTTTGCAGGAGTTTACAGCCAGTGAAGAAGAAGAAGAATGGATTTAGCCCCGCTGAAGGGAAAGAATATTTTCTCCAAACAATCTGAAAGGAAAGACAGCAGGCAAGAGAGCTAGTCACTCCACTTGCCAATGTCATGACCCAGTATAGGTGAAGATCAAACACTTTAATCCCTGTGGCTGTGTCTGCCCATGGATTACAGTCATCCCCATGCTTATAAAATAAGTCTAATATCCATGTCAATTTCTAGGAATACTACTCATAAATAATATTTTTGCTCTTGTCATGAAATAAAGAAAACAAAAAGCTATGTTGAATTAAGAATTGACATCATAGCACCCAGGACACTCCCATAAACGCTGTCCCCATCTTCAGCAGCAAACGAAGAGTTCTAATTCCAATGGCACCAGTAAAACTGCCTGATTGTATATCCGTCTCGCCTTTCCCTTGAGTGTTGAGCATCGACCAGATCACCTGGCAACTCCTCGCAGCGCCATTCTCCTCAGACCGTAATGATCTGTTTGCGCTTCCGTACTGTTCACTCGCTCCCAGAGGGCCCTCACAACATCTAGCTTGTCATAGATCAGTTCACCACCAAGTGATGCACAGCACTGGCCAGTCTATCTGCCTGCTCATTTCCGAACACACTGACATAGCCTGGAGAGAATATACAAAGGATGCTAACTACCCAGGACCTCTGAAGTGATGCTTGCCACTCTGTACAGAGCATACCTGTCTCTACTTTTCTCAACATGCTCTGCGAGTCAGTTACAATCACAGCATGTGTGTAAAGCTACTGAGAAATAACAAAATCCTATCGGCTTTTTATTCCGCACTAGAGGACAGGCCTTCAGCCAAGTCATCTTATCCTCTGCAGCTCTCTCTCTTTATCATCTCTATTTTCAAGTGTCAATACAGATAATTTCTGGTTCTTGCACTCTTGGCACCCTGGACTTTAAACACTTAATAGTGATGTATAATTTTTCTGTTATCTCTTGACCTTGTTCTTGGTTTACCTCAGGCTCTGCTTATCTCTCCTCTTTGGTATGTGTTTAGTATGGTATAAATTCACAAGGCATTCTTTCTAAGTAGACAAACCAATTTGTTAGCTGTCGCTGCATGTAATTTTATGTCTCCTCAAAGGTTCAACATACAATTGTACTTAAATACAGCTCTATGCATCTCTTTCTATAATACATTTTATGCATTAGTTTTATTGAGCAGCAGCTGAAACGACACCCAAAAAAGCAGGACAATGATAGACTTGTCAAGGAATGTGAGTGTACTTACGAAATAGTTTGTGCGACTGCTCCGGCCAAACCCCCACATACCAGTTTGGCAGGCAATATCAGAGCAAGGCCCCCGGCATGTTGTGGCTTCCCCAGAAATTCAGGAAATGTGTCCAGAGCAAAGTTCTTCAACATTTCAAAACTACTGAAAGAAAGTCCTGAAAATAGAAATTACCAACAAAACTGCATTTATAAAATTGTACTGACAATTTTAAGAATATAAGTCAGTCAGTTAGTTAATAAACAGGTGCAGCTTCACAGTAAACAGATCACCGCATAATTATTCCAAAACCTGCACCAACAAACCATAACTTCCATTCCTTATCAACAAACATGTTGCCCCATAATTGTTCTGTTACTGCTACAGCAAAAAAACACAGAATGCCTATCAATGTCCTTGTAAAAAAAAAAAAAACAGGCTGCAATCTTGGCAAAGCCAACAGCATACACATGCAATAAATGCCTAAGGCAGCCATCAGAAGTCCCAACACAAACGGTCTACCACGGTTCACCGTGGATGGAAGTAGAAGTTACAATAAACCAGTTAACTGCACTCACATAAGGCTCTGACAGTTCTGTGTCAACAGACCACCTACTAAATTATAATATGACCACCTACCAAACTATATTATAATATATGAAGACAAACCATACTAACAGTATGATGGCACATTATACAACATAACACCACCGTGTGGGTTCCGGGGCCAATGGTGGGGAAAACAAGAATAGACCCACTGCCTCCTCAAAAGCATGTCGTAAGAGTCGACTAAATCTGTAAAACTGATGCACACGCAACACTCAGGTTCTGGAGCAAGACTGCAGTTCAGTAGTGGACGAGCAAACAGAACTTTCCGCCAGAGTTTACAGCTGGTGAACGCAAAGAAGAAGAAGAAGACAACATAACAACTTACAGTAACACTTGTAAGAACATACATCTTTTATGTGCTGACGTATGTAAGGACTGTTTCATGAACATTATAACAGAAGGTTCTGGCTGGTCAACTGGAATGTTACAGAAAGATCCTGGAATGTGCGGGAATGTCCCAAGTACCTCGATGTCAGTTTTCCAATCATTCATAAATTTGTGGAATATCATGAACCAAAAAGAAGAAAAACAATGACATTCTTCAGTTTTTGCCCCGGAAACCAAAATACTTCAGCTATATTTAATGCCGACAAATATAGAGATTCTGGAAGACTACAAATGAAAAAAGAATCACTGAAACAAATTTAAAACAAGACAATTCAAATATTAAAAGACATTACAGTCCTTTAAAAATCATACTGTACTGGAGGGAAAGGCAAAGGCAAGGGAGCAAGAGTTGACAACAATATAATTATACAACTAAGGTAAAAATTTACCTCAACTTTACAATACAGTTTAAAGCAGACTTATAAAGCGCACCTGCATAAGGAGCCATTCCAAGAATAGTTGGTACAATGCCCTGGTACAAGCCTCGTGTGCCACCCTCTAGGAGCCGTATAGATTTGACTGTGTGCATGATGCCATCGTAGACAGCTTCACCTCTGACCTGAAAGGCTAACCTTGCCCTGATCATGTCCAGCGGGTAGGTCACCATGACAGCAGTCAGCCCTGCCCAAGGACAAAGACAATCATATTAGTTCCCAGTGTAAGGTCAAGTCTGTCACTACGATGACGTTCACACCTGTTAGATAACAAAGACTATCACTCTCATTAGTTCAGGTGTTTACATTTAATCACATTATGACAAAAGAAAAACTGGAACATGTGACAACTGGAAATATTTATGCAATGAAAGAATAAACTTATTTTCAAATGGTTGCCTATCAAAGATCCTGCCCCTGTGGACTGACTCCTTTCATGCATCATTTCATTTGAACACCTTTTCAGAGATAATAATACACAACAATAACTAAATAACTAAACATAGTTACAACCATCAGAATACGCTCAAATGATGCCTACATTTCTAAACAATAATAAATCTTAGTAACTGTAATAAATCTAGGGAAAATATATAAACAGAGATAAAGGGAGATAATAAAAGCATCTCCATCTGATGGTACCAGCTGTCATCTGGTTAACTCTAGTCTCCAGTGGCGCCCAGAGCTTGCAGACACTCCCCACTGTCATCTGGTTAACTACTCGTCTTGCCTTTGCCTCTAGTCTCCAGTGGCGCCCAGAGCTTGCAGACACTCCCCACTGTCATCTGGTTAACTACTCGTCTTGCCTTTGCCTCTAGTCTCCAGTGGCGCCCAGAGCTTGCAGACACTCCCCACTGTCATCTGGTTAACTACTCGTCTTGCCTTTGCCTCTAGTCTCCAGTGGCGCCCAAACCCTGCAGACACTCCCCACTGTCATCTGGTTAACTACTCGTCTTGCCTTTGCCTCCAGTCTCCAGTGGCGCCCAGAGCTTGCAGACACTCCCCACTGTCATCTGGTTAACTACTCGTCTTGCCTTTGCCTCTAGTCTCCAGTGGCGCCCAGAGCTTGCAGACACTCCCCACTGTCATCTGGTTAACTACTCATCTTGCCTTTGCCTCTAGTCTCCAGTGGCGCCCAAACCCTGCAGACACTCCCCACTGTCATCTGGTTAACTACTCGTCTTGCCTTTGTCTCCAGTGGCGCCCAGAGCTTGCAGAAACTACCCACTGTCATCTGGTTAACTACTGGTCTTGCCTTTGCCTCTAGTGGCGCCCAAACCCTGCAGACACTCCCCACTGTCATCTGGTTAACTACTCATCTTGCCCTTCCCTCTAGTTTCTAGTGGCGCCCACAGCCTGCAGACACTCTCCTCCAAACTGGTTAACTACTCGTTGCTACGACATGCTTGTTGGGGAGGCAGTGGGTGTATTCTAGTTTTCCCCACACTGCAGCCAGGAACCTAAAAGGGGAAGCACGTGAACAGCACGAAGTAGGCAAGCACGGAAGCCATACTTTTCAGCAAGGCACCTGATGATGATAAGTTATTGTATCTTTTTTGTCGCTGTGGGCTAACAAAGACTAGCTGCAACATCCATTCTGTCCTTCATGGTTATATTCTGGTACAACTGAAAGTGACAGTTCCCTGTTGTTGACTTCTCATTGTAGCCAACAAAAGCTGAGCGGCGATTAAATGTTTACAGCTCTTCATACAGGAGTCCAGGGGACTCTGCAGCAATTCTCAAAAAAAAAAAAACTGAATTTGTTTTATTTATAGATCACTATAACAACTTTTTTTGATTAATCTGCCTACATTTATTAATTGTGTTTGAAATATATAACGATATATAAAGGGAACAATAAAAAAAAAACATTAAACTAATGAAGCGCTAAGTGGAATACATTCCTGGAGGCCTAAACAACAACAAAATGTATCAGCTGAATCATGCCCTGACCCCAGGACCTCTCCAACTCAAGATTACGGGGGACGTTTGATGTCAACCTAGCTTTAAAACAGCTATTAGGCTTATGGGGAAAACACCCCTAATAGCTGTGTTTAGCTAATATATTCTCACCATGACCTTCTAAATGTCTGCACAGGTGCAAACTCAGCCAATAGCCTTCAATATGCATCTCATAAACAGGCAACTTTTGGGAAAACAGAAAAGTGACATTTATGGGGAACAGGACCCAATGGAAAGGGTTGGTTTCATAGCTTCTCAGATACAACAGGTTCAAATCCTCAGCCCCTCCCTTTCCGGTCTACGACACCCTAAAAAGTGCTAAATAAAGGCAGGAAAGACAAACAAGGGTACGCATAGTCACCTTTCTTTTTTTTTAAAAAAAAAGGTAGTTTGAATAATGTATATATTTCAGTTTTCAAGAAATGATACCTTCCACGACCAGTCCCCTCGAGCTTCAGATCCTGTCAGGATTCTCTTCTTGCTTCTTTGGGGTTCTAAGTGATCAGTGAGGATTATCATCATAGCACTCTGGACTGATCCATAGGTGCACAGATCCCCTCCTCAACAACGCCAACAAAGCATAAAACGACTTATGATGCCTGCTCTGTGTTGATTAAATCAGACATCTGGTCCCTTTAGTGAAATGTTCATTTCTTGCAGCTCCAGGCTGCACCCCCAAGTCCCTCACACTTGACAGGAACAGGCAGCCATGCCCTTTGTTGCATTCATCTTTGTGGCGCATGACATTGATTACACTGCTTCTGTCCTGTACCGGACCAGCTATAGCAACCACAGTGTCTGCAAGATAATCTACATGTTCACTGCCTCAAAAATACACATGAAGGTTAAGCCAGGGGTTTTACATTCCTGTAACATTTAAGTTTAAAAAACCCAGATATTCTTTTCCAGATTAATCTATTACAAACTATGAAACATACAGCTAAACAAGAAAAAAAGTCCACATTAAAAACAAATCAACAAACCTGCTAGGGAACCACACAGGAGTTTTGAAATATTTGGTGAATGATTAAGCCAGGGTATATGTTCCTTGGCAATCTGAAAATCAGACGAGAAAACTCAGAAAATGATCTTCACACAATGTATACAAACTTCCAATTTGAATTTTTTCATTTTGCAGGGAAGTAAGTTTACAATTCTAAACTCACACCCGTGAAGTTTCTGCTTGTTCATTATTTACTTTACCATCTGTATGTCCTTCCTTCTTCGACTGAGGTTCAACATGACATTTGTGAGATATGAGAATAATTAGGCAATACTCAAATAAAATGTGAGATTGAGTGGATGATTAGAAGTGTGACAGAATGAAGAATCATTTTGTGCTTGGTTTATGGACAGGTACCAAGTTGTTATGAATATGTGCGCATCTGCAACTTAAATCTATTCAAGCAGCCTACAGCAAAGTGTATCTGGACATCTAATAGTTGACAAACTGGCAGTTGAGCCTGCATGGCAGAGATGAACGTAACTGATGGATGAAAACTGAAGGTGACCTCCTGTGAGTCTGAAATGGAAAGATTTGTTAACAGGAGAATATCTCATTAAAGTAACAATACCAGCAGTGGTGTTTGATGATGAGTCTATCTTCTCACCCTAGACAGAACGGAGACAGTAGACAGAACAGAGACAGTAGATAGAATGGAGAGAGTAAACAAAACAGAGACAGTAGACAGAACAGAGAAAGTAGAACAGACACAGTAGATAGAACAGACACAGTAGAAAGAACAGAGACAGTAGACAGAACAGAGACAGTAGACAGAACAGAGACAGTAGACAGAACAGAGACAGTGGATAGAACAGAGAAAGTAGACAGAACAGAGACAGTGGATAGAACAAAGACAGTAGATAGAACATAGATAGTAGATAGAACAGAGACAGTAGAACCAAATAAATTATTATTTCAATAATTTTCCAGTTTAAAAAAATGATCTTACCTGCTTGAATTGTTCGTAACTTAAAAACTGAATTGCTGCATAGGGAAATATTCTGATCATTTGAACTCCATTGCCTTGGTACAGGCCGAGAAATCCTTCCTTGTGTACCACATGTCTGACAGCTGAAAACACACCTGGGGCAGATAATTTATTGATAATCAGTACATGAGACAATAATCAGTACATGAGACAATAATCACTTCATGACACAATAATCACTTCATGACACAATAATCACTTCATGAGACAATAACATACAGACATCACAGACACTGCTAATGTCTGCCTGATTCACACATTCATCACACATTAACTGATTCAGTGCATCACACATTAACAGATTCAGTGCATCACACATTAACAGATTCAGTGCATCACACACTAATGATTCAGTTCATCACACACTAATGATTCAGTGCATCACACATTAACAGATTTAGTGCATCACACACTAATGATTCAGTGCATCACACATTAACAGATTCAGTGCATCACACATTAACAGATTTAGTGCATCACACATTAAAAGATTTAGTGCATCATTTTCTGCCAAGGGGCAAACTGTTTACCAAACCTAATTAGCTGTATGATACCCAACAGGGTCACTGCCAAAAAAAAAAAAAGCAATGGAAAACTACCTAAAGAAACCAAGAAGTCAAGATTTTACAATTTAATGTTAGAGACATTAGATGTAGACATTCACAATTTTCTGGTGAACTCAAACAAGAAATGCTTCCTAGTTCATGTAAATGAATTTGAATCTGCCTCCACCGACATGGTTTTTGTTAACTGGCCAAATGTTGCCGAATCTGAAATTATAAATGAACAGACCACAAAGAACACACAGGCAGAAATGACATACCAAGATGTTTGTAGTGTTGATTGTGAGCCTGCAGCAGGATCTTGACTCGGTCTAGAGGAGCAAGAGCAGTTTTGGCACAACAGCCAGCAATACCTGCAAACAAAGGCCAACAAACAAATCTGTTGAAACAATTCCATGGCAGTTCTTACCTATCACTTGAACTTTAGATTTATGTCTCACTTTTCAGTTGGTTGCAGAAATTTTCTGTTGGAAACACACAAAACTCCCAGCTTCTTTCTTTTGCTTCTTTAATAAAATTTAGAAGGGTATTTTTTAAAGTAGTCGCAGTCGAAGTTTCAACTTTAATTGAATTGGGTCACCCCATACAGGCTTTGTTCCTATGACAGACAAGGTCAAATGAAATGTCCCTCACTGTCCCATTTGAATAACTGGTCTACAAACAATTAGTCCCAGCACAATCCAGAAATATGTGCACATAGTAAATGCATAAGGCAGTTGCTAGAGATGCCAAAGCCAACAGTCGCCACCAGAAATGCAGTTTGTCGTTGATGGAAGTAGTCGGTCACGATAAGTTTGCCATACAATGTAGAATTATTAAATAAGATATTTCGCCATCTTACAGGTAAAGCGTCTACCCACCATACTGAATACCACGACACAGCCACTGCATAAATGAAAAACATTTCACAAGAAAAACACAGCTCACAGTGCTGCACCAAGTTTATTCAGTGACAACAACAATCATTAGAGAACTAACCCACACTAAGATAACAACATTCCCATAATTACAAGATCACTTGTGTGTATCTGGAGCAGAGAATAGTAACTACAGCCTGCAGGTAAAAGAGGGAACTAAGGTAATGTCAAGCTTTTAGAGAAAAACTAAACTAATTCAGCTGAATCAGGGGGTGAATAAAAGATGCTGGGACTGGATAGGACAGGTGCTGAGAAAACCTGAGAGCAATATAACTACAAGGACTGTACACTAGAGCCCACAGGGACATAGAAATAAAGGCAGCCCCCCCCCCCCCCCCCCATGAAACACGAAAAGGGAATTAGAGAGTGTGGTTAAAAAGATTACAAGGACATGGGGTGAGCTGCATGTGACAGAAAGGCTTAGCGTGGACTAGCTGACAGTCTATGCTCTATTGGAGTATAAAGGACAGTAGAAGAAGAAGAGCCATGCCAAAATCCACAGATAATATTAAAAAAGCTCGACCAGTTTGTTTTGTGAAGTCACTACTCACCCCCAGACATAAATGTCTTGAGTGCCACGGCTGTTCTACTGTTCCTGGCAACCTCATCTGTGTTCTGCAGTTCCACCATTGTGCGTGAGCTTCACTGAGCAGACGTACGGAGATGAACCCTGGGTTAGAAATAGCATCCGTGATAACTGCTGGATTAAAATTATAAATATAATCTTTAATCTTCGGGAAACACTGAAAAGATCTCATAAAATGTTAGCAAATTCAGAAAACTAATCATTACTGGAGATACACATGTCTGTGTGTAAACTTTTGCTCTTCTTCTTCTGCCTTTCTATCCCCCAATGGAGCATAGGCCCTCAACCAACTCACGCCAAGTCGTTCTATCCTTCGCCATTACATGGAGCTCTCCCCATGTCCTCCCAATCTTTCTATTTGAAGAGCCTCCCCTCATCTTGGTTGGCTGGATTTTATTTTCTTCTCTTTTTGACTTATCCATGGTTGGTTGGTTTTTGTGGCTATGGTTTTTACAGGATGAGGTAGCCAACCTCAAGCCCAACCCTACCCTTAGTCGCCTCTTACGACATGCCTGGTAGGGTGTAGTGTCACTATTCTTTGCTTCCCGTGAGGGCCCCGGTGACACACTTTTGCTCTACATTTGTCAATTTTTTTTCTTTATTGTAACATCACATCTGTTTACAGTCAGTCTTCCTGTTTTTTTTTTGGTTAAAACTGGCTTTAAACTCTAACAGAAAGTTCTGATTGTCTTCCACACATCTTGTCTTGACATCGACCTGGCTGCCACGAGATACAAAGAGAAGTGATATTGTGTATTTGTGTAGTATTGTCTATTCCATGTATGTGCTGAAGAAGGCTCCATAGCCGCAATGTTCACGTTTTGTTTGTGTTTGTTATATGGTGAAGCTTGTGATAAACTTTTCATTCAGTATCTTTTAATCAATCTGGACTTTGGTCTTGTTCCAGAACTGGAATTGTGTGTGTTAATATGTTTTACAGATGTGATTTACTTGTGCAAATCTGCTTTACAGATCTGATTTACCGGAATGCAGACGGCTGGTTCCTTTGCCTCTCAGGCAGATGCACTTAGACTTCAAAGGATACGCCAAAAAGTCAACTCCTGTGACATGCTTGTTAGGAAGGCAGTGAGTGTATTCTAGTTTTCTCCATAATGGGGCCCTGGAACCCACATGGGAATGATGTGTATTCAGTTACTATTTTATCTGCTGGATTTCTCCTATTCAGCTCTGACATCCATATCAAATTTGATTCTTTGGAAATGACCTTTAAGCTGTCAAGTAGACCCAGGCCCAAAAAAAAGTACCAGATAATGCCCTGAAAAGTAAGGGCGGCTGGCTTGATGATAACCATATCATCCATCAAGGGTTAATCGTTCATAAAAATATATATGCCTAATGGGCCACTGGCATAAAAAGGACATTTTCAGATGTCACATCTTAGCTTGGCACTTTGCTCATATGTGTGGTCTTGAGACATGGCGTCCCCCTCGAGTGCTGGACGTCCCTGAGTATTGTTGCACACGTAAAAAAATCCCCTGGCAGTTGGAAATTGAAAAGAGTAGCCTAACTACGCTACCCAGGCAAAATTTTTAGTTATCAATCTACCCAAAGTACTTCAGGGTCCTTGCCAGTGCTGCAGAGTTCATGCACTGCTCTGAAATTCTTCGACTCAGGCTTGAGTTAGAAGTAGAACGGAGCACTTATAGGTTACAACCCTTGATCCCTGATGTTAATCCGTTGTCTAAATCTAAACTCCTACACCTCCTCTCAGAAAACACATTGTGAGCTGACCCACCAGTGCAGGCTGACATTAAAAGCAAAGTTAAACTGCCTGTGAAATATACAAGTATATCCTTATATTTATTTTGTGTTTCAACAAATTAATATTATTAACATTATTAATATACCCAATGGCAAATAATCATCATCATCAGGTGCCTTGCCGAGGGCGATCATGCCTCTCCATTATCTGCGATCTCCTGCAGCATGTATCAGTTCGTGTGCCGACACACCTCCATGCCATGCAACAAGACTGTCAAGCATCTTCTCTCATTGTCTTCCTTTATCTCTCCTTCCACAGATCTTTCCAGTGGTCACTACATGTTCTATTTTCCCTCTTCTCATAACATGGCCGAAAAATGATGACTGTCTCCTTCTGATGTCTGTGATAAGTTGTCTTCGGGCTCCCGCATCTTTCAAAACCTCTTGGTTGCTCTTTTTGGTTGTCCATTTATGAACAAATATTTGTAAACAGAATGATCATAAAACCTTTTACTGAATTACGGAGGCAGGGACTGGGACCATTGACCATAAAAAAAAAAATAGGAATTCCTGATAGAGAAACTAGGTTGCAGCACCCGCACCGCTGGTGCTGGCATATGTCTAGCCAAGTTCTCACATTCAATGATTGGCTATTCTCCGAAAAACAGTCCCGAATTATCGAGGCCGAAAATATACCCTAACAAGGCCTCAGTCGCATGTTAATTGCAGACTTCGGGTGACTACCACCACCGCCGAGAGTATCTCCAGTGTCACGCGTAGTGGGACTAAACTAGATGGCTGGGACTCACGAGCAAATAAAATGAAGGAAGCAGCAGGAGATGCAGTAGCTGCTGCCCGTGAGTCCCAGCCATCTTGTTTAGCTCCTCGCCGTGGATAATTTGGGATGTTATTCGGAGGTTAGCCCAATGATTTATCTACATCCCCCCCCCCAAATTGTGTGTGTGTGTGTTTGTGTTATGGAGTTTTTTAAATACCGCTAGATGTAATATTTGTTCGCTAAATGACACTGACCTCGGTTAGAGGAAAATTTCAAGAAACAGAGGCCACGAGCCTCTGGATCTGAATGAGTATGTATGCCATGATTATCATATCATATCGACCTATGAACTGTCAGTGTCAGGGCTATTCAACAAAGTTGGCTCGGGGGGGGGGGGGGGGGGGGGGGGGGGGGGGGGGGGGGGGGGGGGTGAACTGTTTTAAAAAAACGGGGATCGTCATGGGCAAGTCGTCAGCCCCAGCATAGAAAGATCGAAAATACAATACAGCTAGAAGTTATCCGCGGGCCACTTGCTAGGCCTTGGAGGGCCAGATTTGGCCCGTGGGCAGCCAGCTGAATGATGAATAGCCATCATGACCTATGCATGTCAGAATGAATATTAATATTACCTGATTCAGATTACACTGTAGAGAAGCCAGGTAGTGGCAACAATAATTTTAACTTAACATTATTGAAGTAAATACAAACAGACTTGGTCTCTCACAACATGAACTAATGGACCACGCTTTCTCTGTGGTTCTAGTGTGACTTACGTGTGCTGGCTGCCGGGACATAACGAAGAGCCGGTAAACATTCCCAGAAACGAGGTCCTGCCTATCGGCTGTCCCCGACATCATCTGCTGACCCAGGATCAGGGTTGCCAGATCGAAAACTTCATTTTATGCCAAACCATTACCCAAAAGATGCCAGAAAAATGCCAGATAAAGTGTAACATTGTACTCATTTTACATCAAAAGCTCTAGATTGAATTCTTCACTGTCATCCTCACTGGAACCAGTGGAAGATACAGCGTAAACCTTTTTGAATGTAAAATCTTTAAGCATTTTCTCAGATGGGATTAAGTCTTTGCAACTCATCTATAAAGATGGCATATTTCTTGTTCCGGAAATAATCAATAAATCATCCTTAAGTGCAGGCGATATGATGTTCTTTTTTTTTTTTTTTAAATTAGACATGAACCTTTAGTTCTATGCAACTGTATGTGCTCCAGTGTACTCCCCCGACCATGCGTTCTCACGATTTCACTTATATGATCAATTGTGCGTATTGCACAATGGCAGGTCATGCTTACAGCAAGTTGCAACTCTGCTGCTTTACCTTTATCATTACTTTGCCTAGGAGTCATTGTTGTAATAAGCTGTGACTGGCTTTTTGACGGAGTTTTCATGATTTGAAATGCTACTAATTCTTGGTGCATAAGTGCACTGACACAGTTTAAAGTATGCTGCCTCTGATTCGTCTAAAGGTATTTTGAGCCCTGGGTATGTTTTATTCTAGTTACTGTTACACTTGCAATGTCATTAAGATGGTTTCAATTTTTTGGATGACGTGGCCATTGGTAAAAGTAAAAAAATCTATCACAGATAGAACTAGGTCTATATCCTCTCTATTTTTTGTCCCCAAGTAGTTTCTGAACAGTCTGAATCACTTGGTATCAGTGGTGGTTTTGGTTTTATATCCCGCATTTATTCTAGTGGATTAACATAAATTACAGAGGGCCTTGGTTTATCGAGATCACGATCCATTTAGGAAGACAACAAATACAATAAGAAATGGCGCGAATGCCCATTAGTAGGTACCAGGACATCACAACAAAGTCGAATTGAAATTAAGATTTTAACTGTAGGTCTATATTGCCAGGAAAACCCCAAATATGCCAAAATATGCCAGTTCATTATCTTATGCCAGTTCAATTTCTAATATGCCAGATTTCTGGAATCTGGCATTTAAAATGCCAATATGGCAACCCTGCCCAGAATCGCTCTTCCGGCTCCGGAGATTACATTCCTACAAGCTGCCAAATTTCGCTTACTTCTTTCTAATTTATGAGATACAAATAACATAAATGTTTTGTTATTGTTATGTTTATGTTAATACAATCGTCGACCGCACGATCTCTTCCGCTCTCCTTTTTTAACCACGTCCACCCGACTTTAGGATAACCTACCAATAGTCAGAACCACTGTAACAGGGATCTCCTCCAAACCATCTAGAAGTCCACTACAGGAGCAGAGATCAACAGATTTTATCCACACCAGAGTTTTATTGGAAATTATATAGATGGTTCAAACAAGAGAGCAATCAGACGCGGGGGTGCGCGCACGCACACACACACACACACACATACACACACACACATACACACACACATACATACACACACACATACACACACATACATACACACACACATACATACACACACATACACACATACATACATACATACACACACACACACACACACACACACACACACACACACACACACATACATACATACATACATACATACATACATAC